CCTGCGCCTCGCTCAGCCAGTGAGCGGGAACTGGTCTGCATGTGGGATCCGAACCCTCGGGGGGAGTGCCTCCGCGCCTCCCAAGCAGCGCACTAGTGCAGTGCGCCACCGGGCCGGCCCATATAGTTGGTACTTTTTGTGTCCTATTTGAGGAAACTTCTTCTACCTCAAGTTCATCATAATAATTTCATAAGTTTTCTTTTAAATGTTTTACAGTTCACAATTTGATTTGTAATCTATATAAACTTTACAATTTATTGACAGTGTGAGGACCTTAAAACACTAACTACATTTAACCTTTTTCTGTCACTTGTGGTATTGTCATTTATTTCCACATCTGTTTTAAAGCCCTCCTCATGACTCCTGTTTAAATAGCCAATGTTTATTTAGAATTTTTCATACATTAGCCTTTCTGCTTCTCTTCATTTTTTCCTGCATTACCATATTTCCCTCTATGACCATTTCCCTTCCGACTCAAAAATTCCCTTTAGTATTTCTCTTAGTGTAGGTCTGTGAAAATAATTTTTTCAATTTTTGTTTGTGTTAAAAGTTTTAACCACCTTAATTCTTTATGTTCATGTGTATTCTTTACTGAGCGTATAATTATAAGCTGGCAGTTATTTTCTCAGCATATCAAAGATGTCATTCCATTATTTTCTAACTTTTGTGACTTTTGTTGAAACGTCTTACTGATGTTCCTTTGAAAATTGGCCCCCTTGCCCCTCTGCCACCACATTGTCACTGCTCTCCAGCAGTTTGAGTAAGACAAGCATAGGTGTTTTTAAATCAGGATTGGGGTTCATAGAGCTTCGTTGATCTGTGGCTTGATATTAATTTTGGAAAACTCTTGGCCAGGCCCTCTTCTAATATTGTTTTTATCCCCTCCTCTTTTCACTCCTTGTGCACTCCGATGCCTTTATGTTGCACATTTTTACTGTTTTTCATGCAGTGCTTTCACACTTTTCTCTATTTTTTCAGGCTTCTATCTGAAGAATTCATATGGACCTGTTTTTCTGTTCACAGATTCTCTTTTCTTCTGTTTACTCAAGGGTTAACCCCATTATTGGATCCTTATTTCAAATCAGATGTTTTACATTCTAGGGTTCCCGTCTATGGTGGCCATGAGAACACACCACTTACCTCCCACACAGGGAGCATAATTCACCACTGGTTTCAGTGACTGCACCCTGACATCTGTCCCTGTGTTTGTGCCAAGGCAGTGATTCCCAAGGCTGCTCCCAGCCAGCGGCTGAGCTCAGCAGAAATACCGAGGCTGGCCTGGTCTGAGAGACGGGAACTCACCCGACAGAGCAGTTGGTTTAAGAACCCCCCAGCAGGCTTGCCAAAGATGCTTTGGAACTGCACTGTAGTCCAGGGCCTTCCACAGAGTCTTCCTTGCCTCCCTCTCACCTTCTCCTGAGGCCAGAGGAGTTTACAAAGGTTTCCTAGGCAATTTATTCTATCTACGTGTGTTAATGAACACAGTATCCTAAAAAGAAACATGATTTTCCAATTTTCAGTAGTCGTGTGTGTGTGTGTGCGTGTGCATTTGTATGTGTGTGTGGTTTGTATGCGCATGTGTTTGTGTGTGCATGTAGCTAGTTCACTCTGCTGGAAGGGCCAAGAAGCAGTGGCAAGCTAGAAGCAACAAGCACATGTGCAATAACATGCATACATTGTTTTCCAAATACTACTCCCCGTAAAGAAAACAGGGGTCCTTGGGAAATGCTTGATTCCAGGTCTGGGACAGAGAAAAGACAAGATGAACTTGGTACATCTTATGCAAGAAGGTAATTAAGTGCTCAAGTAACATTGGGGCTTGTGGAAAGGACACAAGAGTCCTCCTGAAGTCTCTCCCTGGCCACTAGGTGATAATTGGCCAGAGGAGTTGTTATAGACTGAAGGTTCATGTCCCTCACCAACCCCCAAATTCATGTTTTGATGCCCTATCACCCAGTGCAAGGGTATTTGGAGGTGGGCCTTAAGGATGTGATTAGGGTTACACGACATCATGAGGGTGGGGCCCCCAGGATGGGATTAGTGCCCCTATGAGAAGAGACACCAGAGAGCTAGCTCACTCTCCCAATCTCTCCTCCCCCTCACACAACAAAGAGGTCGTGTGAGCACACAGCGAGATGGTGGCCACCTACCAGCCAAGAGAAGAGGCCTCAGATTGAGACCTACCTTGCTAGCACCTTGATCTTGGACTTTCAGCTTCTGGAACTGTGAGAAATAAATTTCTATTGTTTAAACCATCCAGTGTAAAGAAACCACCCAGTATAAAAAAAATAGTTAAGGGGCCGGCCCGGTGGCGCACTGCTATAGTGCGCTGCTTGAGAGCGCGGCGGCGCTCCCGCCGAGGGTTCGGATCCCACATACAGGCCGGTTCTCGCTCACTGGCTGAGCGAGGCGTGGGAGCAACGCCGAGGGTTGCGATCCCGTTGCCGGTCCCGGTCCAGTGCGGGGGCGACACTGAGGGTTGCGATCCGTTGCCAGACAAGGAAAAAGACAAAAAGGAAAAAAAAAAAAAGTTAAGAAGGACATTATGGTATTTTCTCACAGCAGCCTGAGCAGACTAAGACAGTAGACAATGAAGCATGAAAATAACCACAGGAATAAAATGAAATAGGAGCTTACGAGAGGGCATACTGACATAAACAAATTAATGGATACATGATAAGTGAGAGAAGAGGAACACCTGTTCCTTACGGAGGATGCCAACTAACAAATGTGGAAGGAATGACGGCATTAGAGCCATTTGCAAGCATCGTAGTGACGCATATCCAGGGAGAATGAGCAATGGATAAGTTTGAGGAGGGACACGATATCTATATCAAGACACAGTCTTGAAATATTTTCCTACAAGATGGCTGATTAGTTGTTAAGGAAAAAAAGGAAATTTATAGTGGAGAAACCTGGGAGATACCTTAGCCAAACTGTCAAAGTTAATGTCGCCAGCAATGGAACAAACTGACACCATGACCTAGTGCACCTGGTGTGCACATGAGTGCCTCCCTGCAGGGTGCCCGGGGGACAGAGCACCAGTTTTGTGGTGTTCCTCCCCAAACTGCTCCACATGGAACTAATCATGTGGAATGGTCAGACTAAATCAAACAAAATAATTGGCCTGTATTCTTCAAACTCTCAAGGTCATAAAAGACAAAGACTGAGGGACGTCTCCAGATTAAAGGATACAGCAGCTAAATGCAATGAGTGGTCCCAGATTAGATCCTGAACCTGTAAAAAATAGTTATAAAGGACATTATTAGAACAATTGACCAAATTTGAGTACGGACTGTATTTTAGGCAGCAGTGTTGTGTAATGTTGAATTTCCAGGTTTTCATTATTGTACTGTGGTTATGCAGGAGATGTTCTTGTTCTCAAGTATTTAGGGGGTAATAGGGTATAATATCTGAAATGTACTTTCAATTTTTCAGAAAAAAAACTGTGCATATTACATGTAGATAGAGGGAGGGAGGGTGGGGGAGAGAGAGAGAGCAAATGGGGCAAAATGCAGGAGCTTTTTGTACTATTCTTATACTTTTCCACAAGTTTGAAATTGTATCCAAATAAAACGTTACCAAAAGGGATTACCTCAACAGCACAAAACAGAAAAAAAATTTGTAACAATTCCTGCTTGTCCAATATATGTATATGTCTATATATTCCAAGACATATACCAGCTTGTGGTATCAGAAACACACGCGCGCGCACACACACGTCTGAAAGTTCATAGTTCAAAGGCTGTGTTGAATGATCAGATATCCCAATACTGTCACCAGAGTGCCCCTCCTCAACTTGTCCCATCCTCCACCAGGGAGGATTTCCTCCTTTCCCATGAGCCAGGTCATTACGATGGACACCCATCCAGCCTGCACACTGAGTCTTCAAGTGTAACTGCCACTTCTGCTAGAGCCATCCCTGGAATCCTGGGGCAGGAGCCTTCCAGCCCAGGGAGCAGCAGTTGGCCCAACATCAGCAGCTCCTGCGGTCTGTTGGAGAACCAGTGAACAGACTCTGCAGCCTCCCTCCTCCACCACAGTCTTTTGCATCTCCCAGGAGGGGAAACCCTGGGAGTGTCGTGTTACCATGAGCAAGGAGAGAATGCCCTTGCTCCACAGGCTGCGTGATTACAAACCCCTGCACAACACCTCAGGAAGGTACGTGAGGCCGCATCCTCAGCTGTGTCCTACTTATTCACAATCACAGCCCAGTGATGCTTTTAAAAAATATGTAATAAAGAGCCTCTGCACTTATAGCTGGGTTTCAGGGCTTCTGCTTTAAAATGAATAATTATTTTTATTAAATAGATTTCTACTATCTTTTAAAAATTGTAACAGGAAATGGTGCTTTGAAATACAGGTAGCACTATGTTTAAAATACTTTATGAAGTTAAGGAATTAGGAAATTAACTGGGTTTATAATTCCTAAAAATTCTTCAGTTTACTTTCCTGATTTATCAATTCTGAGGTTTTGACTGATGTGCAGGTGTATGTGATGTATGTACATTACATAATGTATACACACACACACACACACACACATACCAGTCTTCACATGTTGTGTAACAAAACTCTAGGTCACAAAACTTCAAGGAGCTGGTGCCTGAACTGGTTCCCAGGCCTATGTGACCCTGATGCCTGTGCTATCTTCAGTGCAATGTTTCGTCTCTCAATTTGTTTTGGTCTGTGTTTTTCTTGTCTAACCTCTTCTAATCGTGACTCGTTATTGGCACTTATTTACTTTTAATTACCACAAGAATGTGTTCAAAGCTTAGCAGCCCAATTTACTTCTCTGATTATTAACATACAAGAAAGTCCACACTAGAAAATATTTTTTCCCTTAAAAGCCCTTCATGTCATGTGTCACATGTGAGTCTGAGACAGCCTTAGTTTCAACAAGTTCCACTATAATTACACGTATATAAAAGCAAAGTCTCTGTAGATCAGATTCAAAAAACATATTTTCCAAGTACATAAATTTCAGTTATATGAAAATCTGTGATGCTTCCTCCTATAGTAGGGATAGAAAATGCTGTACGTTCTTGTTTTAGCACTAAAAATATTCAAAATTGTGGAATTGATTTCTATATGGCACATCTTTTCTGAGGTGCTTAAGAAACTTGGCGTATTTCGTGGTAGGCATTGATTGTAACAGAGGAGACTCACTATTGTATGAGTATTGCTACCTTTGCGAAGGTCACATAG